CTTTCAAAAGTAATGCATGAAAGCGTTTTATTTATCAATTAACTTGCATTAAATCAAATCAGCATTAGGTTTGAGCACGCTTTGCTTTGAAAACGCTTGCTACTCTTGCTTTCTTCAGGTAGCTTGGCAGGTGGGTTTACTGGCTAATGTTTCAGTAAGAGCCGTGGCTGTTCTCTGATGATCTGGTGTGTTTGTGCTGATGTTGACAGGCGTCCGCAGCGTGTCCTCGTGTTTCGTGGTGCCGATGGCCACAGGAATGAGCCTCACGCTGTGTTTCCTCACGCTCAGACACAGGAGACCAAAAGCACGTTATATTCTCTGGCCTCGCATTGACCAGAAGTCCTGTTTCAAGTCTATGGTGACCGCTGGTAAGATTCACTCACCACAGCTTTCAATACAGTTTCATTCCTAGCCCAGAGTATAGGTAGAACACATAGAAGAGAGATTAGAAATTAGACTATTCATTCATTAGACTATTCATTTATCTAAGTTTTAGGAACAACAGATAATAAATTGACTTCTAGTTCAACTAGAAGTCAAGCATTCATCAGCAATGTACTTTTATGTGTAGTAAATATGTTGAATATTTCCCTTTTGTAAGGCTTTGAGCCTGTGGTGATCGAGAATGTTCTGGAAGGAGACGAGCTGAGGACGAATCTGGAGGAAGTGGAGAGGAAGATTGAGGAGTTCGGGGCTGAAAACATCCTGTGTGTTCATTCCACCACTTCCTGTTTCGCACCGCGTGTCCCTGACAGGCAGGTCAAAACCACTGAGCAAAATAACACAGATTTTTTTGACTAAAGCAAACATTGAGCTATGCTAATGCTCTAAAGGCACATACTGACTAACAATTAAAACCGTTTAAAGGACAGAGCAGCTAAAAAGATGTTATAAAATAATACTTTTCTCACTAACGTCTAATGTCAAATTATTTGTAATCTTTTAAGAAACTGCCATGGAGACCTTAAGCATAAATATCTGCGATGTAATTTTATTATATTATATTATTTTTTATTATATTAAATTATATTATATTATATTTTCTATATATTCTATTCTATTCTTTTATATTATATATTATATTATATTATATTATTTTTATCATATTATATTATATTTTCTATATATATTATATTATATTTATTATATTATATTTATAATATTTTCTATATATTATATTATATTTATTATATATTATATTCATTATATTATATTATATTATATTATTTTTATCATATTATATCATATTATATTATATTTTCTATATATTATATTATATTATATTATATTTATTATATTATATTTCTTATATTATATTATTTTTATTATATTATATCATATTATGTTATATTATATTTTCTATATACTATATTATATTATATAAATTATATTATATTTATTATATATTACATTGTATTTATTATATGATATTATTTTATTATATTATATCATATATTATATTATATTTTCTATATATGTTATTTTTTTATTTATTATATTATATTTATAATATTTTATTTTCTATATATTATATTATATCTATTATATATAATATTATATTATATAATATTTTCTTTATATTATATTATGTTTATTATATTTTTATATTGTATTATATTATATTTATTATAAATTATATTATATCACATTTTATTGGATTAGATTATATTAGATAAAATATATATTTTTTAATTTTCGTCAATATTTTTTTATTCTAAAAATAAATTTATTTAGTGATCAGATCCATTTATTAATTGATTTTAAATACTTTTTATTTGTTTTGTTTATTACAGGTTAGAGGAACTCTCGGTTTTATGTGCCAAGCATGATATTCCTCACATAGTCAATAACGCTTATGGAGTGCAGTCGTCCAAATGTATGCACCTTATTCAGCAGGTAACACTTTACCTTTATTGAACTAATTTTTAGCCAATTTACTACAGCAATTAGCTTAATTGCACTAAAACGAAATTGTCTTACCTTTTTATAGGGGGCTCGGGTAGGGAGAATCGATGCCTTTGTCCAAAGTCTGGATAAAAACTTCATGGTCCCAGTCGGCGGTGCAATTATCGCTGGGTTTGATGAAAACTTCATTCAGGAGATCAGTAAGATCTACCCAGGTATGCACATTCTCCAAAAACACTAATTATGTAGTGTGTGAGTGATCTGTTACAAACGAAAGCAGTTGCGTTTATTTTATTTTATTTATTATTTAGGTGCATTTGCAGGTGAATAGTCTGAATTACAACAATAACATAATAACCCCTTAAAGATACACTCCATCTTTTTTTTTTTGAAAAAGGCTAATTTTGCATGTCTTCTTGAGTTCAACAGTTGACTTGAACCATTTGTTAATGCATTCAGCATATTTCTTGTTCTTTTAGCTTAGCTTAGCTTAGCATAATGAATTGAATCGGATTAGACCATTAGCATTTTGCAAAAAAAGAGTTTTGATCCTTTTCCTGACTGAAATGAAAGACTGATAGAAATTTAAAAATGACTATTGTCTAAGCCAATATTGCTAGGAACTATGCTCTCATTCTGACGTTATTGACTTGATTTTTGCCGTCAACTGCATTATTAAAGGATATTCTATGTTATGACATTGATAGGATCTTTTGTTGTTAAGATTAAGCTTCTTAATAATGGATGTTTTTTAAAGGGCATCTATTATGCAAACATCCCTTTTATATGGCAGCAGTGTGTGAATATAACCAGCTTCTAATGATAAACAGTAATTAGTTCTATTTTATAATAACCACGCTTGATGAAAAACACTTGACATGCTTTGTATGTGTCATCAGAAAGGGAAAAGCCCCACCTACTAGTGACCATCTCATTAGCATAACCCGCCCTAAGTGAGAAGCAGCCATCAGCCATTAAAGTTTTGCATCTTCCACTATGCTAATGCATATGCATTTGTAGCTCCGCCCTCTTTTGAAAAGAGCACAGTCTCATTTGAATTTAAAGCGACAGTCACCAAAATGGCAGAATTTGAATCAAAGCCTAAAGGCGTCAGTTTCAGAGAGTTATAAAATTACAGATTTATAACAGTTTTCAAAGATTTAATCTGTTTTACCAAGTTTGATTATTATAAAAATAGAATTAATTAATGTTTACCGTTAGAAGCTGGTTATATTCACACACTGCTGCCACACAACTGAGTTTAAACCCCTTATAAAAGTGGTTTGTGCATAATAGGTGCCCTTTAAAGGCAATTTTCTTAGTATTTTAATATAAATATAGTCATAACTCAGCCAAAAATCTGATGTTCCTGAAATTTAATTTCCAAAAACTAGACTCTAGACTGGTTTTGTGCTCCAGGGTCACGCATTATCTCATGCAATAAGTATCACACACTGTCGCCATGCAGTAATATGCAGTGCTGTTACATTAAAATCCCTCTCTGAGGTCTAGATTGAGTTTTTGAGCCGGTGGTTGTTTCCAATTGGCTCTCCGCACACTCTTTTCCTCCCTCTTTCTCTGCACTGCAGTGGAAATCCCGAGCACTGCTGCTGCTATTGATTCAGTGAGTCAGTCAGACAGGGGAACGCACTTATAATCTGCTCCGCTGTTTCTTCAGCTCTGAAATGCCTGACGAGAACCGCTGTGATGAACGGAAAGCAAATTGTGCTTGTAAAATTGTTTTGAATATGAAATTTTATATTCTAGGGATAACATGGTGGCTCAGTGGTTAACGCTATGGCCTCACAGCAAGAAGGTTGCTGGTTCGAGTCCAAGTGGGTTTCCTCCGGGTGCTCCGGTTTCCCTCACAGTCCAATGCAATGTGTGAGTGTGTGTGTGAATAAGTGTGTATGGGTGTTTCTTAGTACTGGTTTCTGGCTGAAAGGGCATTCGCTGCGTAAAACATATGCCAGAATAGTTGGCGATTCATTCCGCTGTGGTGACTTCTGAAATAGAGACCAAGAACGAATGAATGAAATAAATAATTTTTCTGTTATTATGACTATCATCACACCAGTATTCAAATTTGTTGATCATGTTTTGACTTACGGTTCTTACTGACTTTTCACTCACAAATTACAAATTACAAATCCCCTTGTTGGCGTTGGTTTCATTCGGATGCTCCAAACTCCACACAGAAATCCCCTATAGCACATGTGTTTGGACTGTAGGGGAAATCGGAGCACTCGCAGGAAACCCACACTAACATGGGGAGAACATGCAAACTCCACACAGAAATGCCAACTGGGTCAACCGGGACTTGAACCAGCGACCTTCTTGCTGTGAGATCTCAGTGCTAACCACTGAGCCACCGTGTTGCTGTAATTAGTAATTTAGTGCATTAAAATAGTTTTCAGACTACTGTTGCAATTGTAATCATATGTTTTGTGATGCTTCACTGTCAGAAATATCCATAAATGAGCAGTTTTTTTGTATTTTGTGACTCTTGTTTTAATTGTCAGTGTTTATTTCTGCATTTGAGTTGCATTATGAGATCTTGATCTTTCTTCCAACAACTTTTAACCTCGAAAAAATGGAAAAAGTGACTTTTATTAACATTTAAAATAGTTTGCGGTGCTATATTGCGCCTGGGTTTGTGTTGTATATCACACTACAGAAACCTTGTAATAAACATCCAGTATATTTCCTGTTATTTTACACACTTATTTCTCTATATATTATATAATTATTATATTATATTATATTATATTATATTATATTATATTATATTATATTATATTATTAGTGTTATTATATTATATTATATTATATTATATTATATTATATTATATTATATTATATTATATTATATTATTAGTGTTATTATATTATATTATTATTAGTGTTATTATATATTATATTATATAATATTATATTATATTATTATTATTATTAGTGTTATTATATTATATTATATTATATTATTAGTGTTAATATATTATATTTTATTATATTATTATTATTATTAGTGTTATTATATTATATTATATTATATTATATTATATTAATATTTATTATATTTTTATTAGTATTAAATTATTTTATATTATATTATATTATATTATTTATTATATTGTATTATATTATATATTATTTATTATTTTATTTTCATTATATTATTAATAATAATAATAATATTATATTATTACAAACTACTAAAATGTCAATAAAAGTCACTTTGTTAAACTGTAGAAATGAATTTTCGACATCAAGAGTCGACAGAGCAAAGATCAACATCCCATAATGCAACCGTAAAGACATCAGAGTGTCTTTAATTAGTAATTAATTACTTTTTAAAAGTGAATTATCGAACACGGATTAATTTGATGTGTTTTTATGCAGGTCGAGCGTCTGCGTCTCCATCTCTAGATGTCCTCATCACACTGCTCACACTGGGAGCAAACGGATACAAGAAACTCCTGGCGGACAGAAAGGTGAATATATACATATTTCGGCATGACTTTAGTTTAGAGATCTGCGCAGGACTAAATTTTGAATCCCGCTCCCGCCCGCTCCCACCAGGTTTTAGCCCGAACCCGATCGCTCCCGCTTATATTTAGCATTTGTTGTCCCGCTGCCCATCCCACCCCGTTTTCTAGCCGAACGCTAGCTAAACGCAGTATCACGTTGTCTCATTCACATACATACATACGCGTGCTCGCTCGCTCGGGAGTCGGGAGCGATCTTGTTAGGCCGCCCGCTCCGTCCAAAGTTAAACCAGTTACCGACCGCTCCCACGCTTTATTCAGAAATTTCTTCTTGCGCAGACCTCTACTTTAGTTGTTAAATCCAAAAAATATGCATCACTAAAATCTCACAAAACAAATGCCGATCTATATCTGTTAATTTGTTGTATGATGTAGTCAGTTATGGGTGTCTCAGCATGATGAAAAAAGACGTGTGATGAAAAGAAAAAAGAAAAATAAGAACCAATATATTATTTATTGCACACAGTAACATACCCGCCAACACTGCTGTTTTTCCTGGGAGTCTCCCGTATTTCAGACCCATCTCCCGTCACCCTCCCGTCTTGTTATTTCTTCTCTAAAGCATTTAGTTATGCAGAAATTATTAAAACATAGTTGAAATAACGATACCTAAAAAAATATCAATACCAAATTAGAAACTTCTAAGTATCGATATATCGATACTCGAGCATCGATGTGCCTAATTGCCAAACTTATTGCTTAATTTTTTCATGATCATGAGCAACATTTATGATTAAAAGCAGCGCATTATTATTTTAATGGGGGAAAATAAATGATTTCAGTTTACGTTGTCATTCATTTATTTTATTTTAATTTCGAGTAAGTTCTGAAATATTTTAACATAAATAATTAAAATTGCTTTAATCCCTGATTGAGAAGTATAGAGACAGGTGGGCGTATTATTAAAGAAAACACCATTAGACATAAGAAATGGAGTATTGATTTACCACTAATGCGTCCGGTTATTAATAATTTACAGCTGTTGTGGATCATATAAGATGGTCTTTGTGGTCAGATTTAGCGGCCCAGCATGTTTCAAAACAATGCTTTCACAGAAGTTACATGCTTTAAATAAATATACTTATCATAACGACGACTTAATGTAAAGCTTTTTTTTTATTTGCATCATATTTGCATTACAGTAAAATGAAAGTTTGTTTGGGTGGCGCAATGGTTAGCATGGTCACCTCACAGCAAGAAGGTTGCTGGTTCGAGTCCCGGCTGGGCCAGTTAGCATTTCTGTGTGGAGTTTGCTTGTTCCCCTACAGTCCAAGCACATGTGCTATAGGGGATTGATGAACTAAATTGGCCGTAGTGTATGAGTGTGTGTGTGAATGAGTGTACATGGGTGTTTCACAGTACTGGGTTGTGGCTGGAAAGGCATCCGCAGTGTAAAACATATGCTAGAATAGTTGGCGGTTCACTCCGCTGTGGCGACCCCTGATAAATAAAGGACTAAGCTGAAGAAAAATGAACGAATGTAAACAATATTTAAACAAAGCCATGCATTACTTCAGGAGGAAAAATGGAAGAAGTGTGATTTAAATGTCGAAGCGGTGGTAATATTACGAACAGACAGGCACAGCAGGTTATTATTTTCACCCTGTAGGTCTCAGTCGTCTCGCTAAAAGCATTATAATAAGGCTTCGACTCCTTCAGTTCATCTATAATTGCTCCCAGTGGTGAAGCGCAGCTCTTGCAAACGCTGCTGGTTTCTGTGCACGCAAATGCATTCGACTTCAGATGACAAATCACATGCTGCACTGAAAAAAATGATGCATTGGATTTTTATTTTATTTTATTTTTTTAAAGGTAAGTGGTTGCAAACTATTAATATGGGCTGATTTTAAACAGTGCAGTAGGGGATTGTGTTCAGAAACGTGTTGTTGGGCTGGTTGAAAGTCTCTTCACATTCCAATAGTGCTGATTACGTAAATGATCTCAATGTGTTTAAATGTGTTTATATATTCTGGATAAGGCATAAAACTGAAAAATTTCGTTCAATTAAATATTGTCAGGTCGACAAATAACTCATTTACCACAGGCATCTCAAACTGTCAACAAATTTAAATGTGTATTTCTGCGCAGCCTCTTTAAGCAGACAGATGCGTCACTCGCACGTACATGTGAAGCACGCATGTACCGCTGACAGAGAGATCAGGAAAACTCTGCATCATCCTGAACTCCTTTCTGAAAGACCAGCATGGCCAAAAATGCAGAATCAAAACTTTTCTAAAACCTGAATCAATATCAGAGTTACTTTTGCACGCTGGAGGGAAATGACGTTATGCAGTTCAAAACGACGATCTGAAGGATCGCACCACGGCTGAAACAAAAAAAACCACTGATATACATTGACCTAATAACCATGCCTTCACCTAATTAACCTAGTTAAGCCTTTAAATGTCACTTTAAGCTGACATTTCCATGAATTCGGTCAAACTACTCGGCTCGCATACTGATTTTAGCATATATAGGATGAAAGTATACGGTTTCGGACGCAGCCTGTGTGTTTGTGTGCTGTATATATGGCCCATGTAATCAGTCTTTGAGCAGCTCCCAGCTGTATGTGTGTGTATTTAAAGAAGAACTGGAACAGGTGTGAGTGTGTGGTGCATGACAGGATTTGTAGTTCCTTTGGTGACAGGATTGTACTCTGGGTGATAGTGAGTGTTCACTATCAGGGTTAGATCGCTGGTGATCATGACACTGACCAGGCCTATATATTTTATTATTAAATTATTATTATTGTATTATTAAATGTAGTAAATTATAATCATTTTGATTGGACAAGTGAAAATCTTTCCCTGCTGGGATATTCGAAAAAAATCCTAAGCATTAAACCCTGTACAAGTCTAAAATTTCATCCATAACGGCCTTAATAAGTCTTAAATTTAACTTGGTGAAACCTGCAGGACCCCCGTACTGTCATCATGACAAAGATAAAATAAATCAGTGATTAGAGATGAGTTCCCTACTGAAAAAAACAGCTTAAACCAGCCCAGGCTGATTGGCTGATTATAGCTGGTTGACCAGGCTGGTTTTAGAGTGGTTTTGGCCACTTTCAGGCTGGTTTCCAGCCATTTCCAGGCTGGTCTTAGCTGGTCAGGCTAGGAGATGACCAGCTAAAACTAGCTTAACCAGCCTAGCCAGGCTGAGAGTCCAGCCAAAACCAGCCTGACCAGCTAAGACCAGGCTGGAAATGGCTGGAAACCAGCCTGGAAGTGGCCAAGACCCCGCTAAAACCAGCCAACTAGCCTCGGCTGGTTTAAGCTGTTTTTTTCAGCAGGGTTATTAAAACTATTATGTTTAGAAATGTGTTGACAAAATCTGCTCTCCGTTAAACAGAAATTAGGGGAAAATAATTCCATAAGATTAAATCATCCTAATAATTCTCACTTCAGCTGTACCAAATTTAATAAATCCAATAATTCAGCGTGGGGGAAAGGTACAGGAGGCTGGAAAGCTGAAGCAGCTGCTGGGTTTACTGTAGGACAGCAGACGCCAAACCCAAAAAACATGCACCTTTAGCAGAAAGTGCGACAGAAGCGCTGTGTGTGGAGCTATTTATAACTGTGTTTATAATTTTGTGTGGCCCGCAGGAGCTGTACGGGCATCTGGCGCAGGAGCTGAGCGCTTTAGCCGCGAGACACGGAGAGAGACTGCTGAAAACACCACACAACCCCATATCACTGGGTGAGGAGTCATGCATAATGTAGAGCAAACGGCTGAAGGCTTCTGTACAAACGCTCAGTAAACACGCATTCTGCTGTAGTGAATGAAAATAGCTCCAGAAATGTTTTGGGTATGAGGCTCAAGGTTTGGCTGGTTGGCGTAAACCCCTGCTGGCAGATCCTGTAAATACACCATCTGGCTCCATCTTTCGCTATTGGCGACTGCTGAATCAGGCTTGTGGAAAATTAGAACAAAATGAAATAAAAGACCATTTAGACAATTTAACACTTGTTTATTGTTCAAATTGACTCCCCTTTCATTATGTTGGCGGCTGTTTTTACCCCATTGACTTCCATTATAACCACATGTTTTGATTGCAAAGCCATGACAGCATAACATATTGATTGTTGGTGGTTTTCCCTGTTGGGAAGAGGTCAAATTTATTATTTGTACTGTTGATCATTAGTTGGCTGCATTAACCCTTTAGATAGACCTGTGCATTGACGTTTCTGGCTTTTATATGGAGTTCAGTGGAGTTAAACAGCAGATTATAGTGTGTGTGCAGAAATACACTTACTGTGTTTAACATGTTCTGAGAGCTGAGCTGCTTATTTTGATTTGTTTCAGACATATCAAGGTAGACTACCTGACAAAAGTCTTGTTGCCTATCCAAGTTTTAGGAACAGCAAATAATAACTGAGCTTCTAGTTGATCGTTTGGTGTCTGAAGTGGCTTATATGAAAGGCAAAGGCTTCTAGATGACGCTTATTTGAGCACAATAAAATCTGATAATGTCTTGATGTTGACTGATGTGATTAGGACAGTAAGGTCTGACTCTGCTTAGACTAAAGTCTCATCACAGAACAGAAATAATGTCCAGTATAGAATATAAAGTCCTGCTGCAGTGGAGACAGAATGAATATTGTGTCTGACTCCATCATGAGCTTGGAGGACTGCATCCATACATCTCTGACATGACTCGCATCACTGATTAATAAAGTCATCTGGAATGGCAAAGAAAGCGTTCCTGCAGGACTCCCAGAGCTCATCAAGACTCTTTAGATTCATCTTTAACGCCTCCTCCTTCATCTTACCCCAGGCGTGCTCAATAATGTTCATATCTGGTGACTGGGCTGGCCAATCCTGGAGCAGCCTGACCTTCTTTGGGTTCAGGAGCTTTGATGTGGAGGCTGAAGTATGAGGAGGAGCGCTATCCTGCTGGAGAATTCACCCTCTCCTGTAGTTTGTAATGTAATGGGCAGCACAAATGTCTTGATACCTCAGGCTGTTGATGTTGATCATCCACTCTGCAGATCTCTCGCACGTTCCCATACTGAATGTAACCCCAATCCATGATTTCTCCTTCACCAAACTTGACTGGTTTCTGTGAGAATCTCGGCTCCATGTGGGTTCCAGTAGGTCTTCTGCAGTATTTGTGATGATTGGGATGCAGCTCAACAGAAAAATCTACCTTCTGCCACTTTTCCAAATGATCAACTTGAAGTCAAGTTATTATTTGTTGCTCATACAACGGGGATCCACAACAAGACTTTTATCAGGTAGTGTAAGTGCTCAAAGGTCTTACACAGACTGTAACTAGGGATCAACAGTAAAAATTACAAATGTTACCTCCAACATTCTGCATGATTATATGCTGTCATTGCTTTTCATCGAGTGTTTATATCACAACTCAAATAACTGCATGTGTTCTTGTGTTCTCCAGCGATGTCCCTGAACCATCTGGAAGCCCACAGTAGCTCTGCAGTCACTCAGCTGGGCTCCATGCTCTTCACCAGGCAGGTTTCTGGAGCCAGGTGAGCTTCTGACCTTTTTATATTTATCTTAGAATTTCACATCAGAGGGGAAATTAAAAGGTTTCCTCAGTTTTCGCATGGCATCAAACCTAATATCATATACTCTATGAAGCCAACTAAATACTAACCTTTGGATGAATAGTTGTGATGCAGAAATCTGTGTTTGTTGATTGACATTTAAGGTGTGGCTTCAGTCTCCATGGTGAAGCTTTTGTTTACAACTCGCTTCCTAAGTGCTAGAGATTTGACTGAATGAATATTTCCACATCCCAAAGCTGCATTTTGTGTGTTTATATTTTCCGCCGGACAGCGGCTGACCTGCTGTAATATTGATGAAATCTTCTCTCTGCCGTCCGCTTTCATTATTTAAATGGGAGTCATTCTCGTTCTCATGGGTTTCGCTTCAGCATTATCCTCTTCACCCCTTTTAGCCTGTCAAAAGCTATACACTCTATATCTGCAGTGATGGATGTGCAATGAATAAATATCATGGAAGAGTTTAAGACCGAACAAAGAAAGTCTGTTGTGAATTTGGAAAGTGTAAAATGTTATTAATTCATAAAGATATTTGCCATCTGTTTGGACCGTTTGACTCATCATTTTTTACAGAACTGGTTCAATTAATTACTACTGGTAAGATATTGGTCATCGTAGTGATAATATTAGGATGGCACAATTAAGTAGAACAAGCAACACAGGCTTATTGTGAATACATACCCCTGTATACATGTCTGGAGAACGAAAAATATGTAGCTAGATGTACATATGGCTGCATTTCGCTTTTAAAACGAACGCTATGGGGCAGTTTGACGCCTCCGATAGCTTCTGGTGAGCGGGTCAATCGGTGCTTTTGAAAACACTGTAGGTTGGGTTTAGGGACGGGCGGTGGGCGGGTCAATCGGTGCTTTTGAAAACACTGTGGGTTGGGTTTAGGGAAGGCGGTGGGCAGGCCAATTGGTGCTTCTGAAAACACTGTGGGTTGGGTTCAGGGACGGGCGGTGGGTGGGTCAATTGGTGCTTCTGAAAACACTGTGGGTTGGGTTTAGGGAAGGCGGTGGGCGGGTTAATCTGTGCTTTTGACAACACTGTGGGTTGGGTTTAGGAAAGGGGGTGGGCGAGTCAATCAGTGCTTTTGAAAACACTGTGGGTTGGTATTAGGGAAGGGGGTGGGTGGGTCAATTGGTGCTTCTGAAAACACTGGGTTGGGCTTAGGGAAGGGGGTGGGCGGGTCAATTGGTGCTTCTGAAAACACTGTGGGTTGGGTTTAGGGAAGGGGGTGGGCGGGTCAATTGGTGCTTTTGAAAACACTGTGGGTTGGGTTTAGGGAAGTGGGTGGGCGGGTCAATCGGTGCTTTTGAAAACACTGTGGGCTGGGTTTAGGGAAGGGGGTGGGCGGGTCAATTGGTGCTTCTGAAAACACTGTGGGTTGGGTTTAGGGAAGGGGGTGGGTGGGTCAATCGGTGCTTTTAAAAACACTGTGGGCTGGATTTAGGGAAGGGGGTGGGCAGGTCAATTGGTGCTTTTGAGAACACTGTCGGTTGGGTTTTGAGGAGTGGGTGGGTCAGTTAGTGCTATTGAAAACATTGTCAGTTGGGTTTAGGGAAGTGGGTGGGCGGGTCGATCGGTGCTTTTGAAAACAGTGTTGTTTGGGTTTAGGGAAGGCGGTGGGCGGTTTAATCGGTGCTTTTGAAAACACTGTTGGTTGGGTTTAGGTAAGGCAGTGGGCGGGTCAATTGGCGGAGCTACAAATGCCGATCTGTCAGCATAGTGTCAGATTCAAAAACAAGATTGATGTCCTATGCTAATGAGGGAGAGATGGTCACTAGTGGGCGGGGCTGTCCCGCCCATGTACAAAGGGAGAATGTCAATCAAAGTGTTCCTGCAAACATGTGATTATTTAAAAAGACAATTAATTAATTTTTACCAATTTTACAACATTTTTTTGATTTTTGCATAATAGGTGCCCTTTAAAACTATAATGTTCCGAAATGTGTTAAAAAAATAAACACACACCTGGCAATAAAAGCTCTTTCTGATTCTGATTGTGATTACATTCATACTATTAAATGGCATAGACATAATAATAATAATAATAATAATAATAATAATAATAGTAATAATAATAATGGTGCTGATGATGTATTTTGTGTGTTGTTAGGGTGGTCCCATTAGGAGTGCAGCAGACTGTGAGTGGACACACCTTCAGTGGCTTTATGTCCCACTCCGAGGCCTACCCCTGCCCATACCTGAACGCTGCGTCTGCTATAGGAATAACCAAAGGAGACGTCACCGTGTGCATGAAGAGACTGGAGAAATGCCTGAAAATCCTGAAGAAAGAGAAAAGTGACCCTGCAGAGCTGGAGGCGGAAGATGGAGAGCTGGAGGAGAGCCCACAGAGATCCACAGAGTTGCGTGTGTAGGGATGTTTATGATGATATTGTGGCTGTAATGCTGTGTGTGTGTGTTGTGTTTGAATGTTGATTTATCCGCATAAGGCCATGATAGATCTGTGCTAAACTGAAGCACTTTGTGTAACTGGACAGATAATAATAAATATGATTTCATTGTTTTAAATCATCCTGTGCTGTTGGCTTTTTTTATTTGATTTTTGACAGTGACTCAGTGGTTAGCACTGTCGCCTCACAGAAAGAAGGTTGCTGGTTCAAGTCCCGACTGGGTCAGTTGGCATTTCTGTGTGAAGTTTGCATGTACTCCCCGTGTTGGCGTGGGTTTTTTCCTCCCCCAGTCTAAAGACATGCGCTATAGGGGAATTGAAGAAACTAAATTGGCCGTAGTGTATGTGTGTGAATGAGTGTGTGTGGATGTTTCCCAGTACTGGGTTGCAGCTGGAAGGGCATCCGTTGTGTGAAACATATGCTGGAATTGTTGGTAGTTCATTCTGCTGTGGTGACCCCTGATTAATAATGGACTGAGCTGAAGGAAAATGAATAATAATGGATAAGCATAAGATGGATGCTTGGATGGAATAATTATTTTAAAATGTATTATTATTATGGTACATTTTGTTATTATTTTTAATATTAATATTTTATTATTATTTAAATGACAAATGTATCAAAATAATGATTTTGTAAAAAATATTTATAACAAAGTATATAACAATTATCATTATTTATTTCTTTATCTTATGGCACATTATTATTATTATTACTATTATTATTATTATTATTTAGATACTTTCATTTAGGAGTTTGATCAGCATTGGATTTGAAAAATAAATATTAAAATAGATACTAAAATAAAAAAATATTAAACTAAATATTCAAGTAAATGAAAGATATAAAATAAATAAAAAAATAACAATATTAAAATAACAATTAAAATAAATAACATTTAAAATAAATACTAAAATAAATATTTAAATAAATATTAAAATAGATATTATGAAAATAAATATTAAAATAGATATTAAGATAAAAGATTAAAACAAAATATATTATTATAATTTATAGATATTAAATTAAATATGAAAATAAACAACATTAAAATAGATATTAAAATAAATAACATTCAAATAAATACTAAAATAAATATTTAAATAATTTTCAAAATAGATAATATTCAAATAAATATTTAACTAAATATTGAAAGTCATTAAAATAAAATACAAAAATATATATTAAAATATGTTTTAATTAATTTATAGATATTAAAATAGATATTAAAATAAATATTAAAATAAATGCTAAAATAGATATTAAAATAAATAATAAAATAAACATTAAAATAGACTTTAAATATTAAAATATATATTAAAATAAATAACATTAAAATAAATAGTACAATAAATATTAAAATAGTTATTAAAATTAACATTAAAATAAATACTAAAATATATAGTAAAATAAATAGTAAAATAAATATTAAAATAGTTATTAAAATAAATTGTTAAAATAAAATATAAAAATAAAAATATTAAAATAGATATTAAAATAAATAGTAAAAGGAATATTAAAATAGATAATAAAATAAATAACATTATAATAAATACTAAAATAGATATTAAAATAAACTGTAAAAATATTAAAATAAATATTAAAACAAATAATAACAAAATTGTTATTAAAAATTATATTAAAACAAATTATAGATATTAAAATAAATATTAGAATAAATAATATTAAAATAAGTATCGAAATAAATAATATAAAAAAAAGATTTTAAGATAAATATTAAATTTAATATTTACTTGAATGAATGTTAAAGCTACACAGTAGTTTCAGTGCAGCGCACACAGATGAAGTCAGAATTATTCGCCCTACTTTGAATTTTGCTTTCTTTTTCAAATACTTCCTAAATGATGTTTAACAGAGCAAGGACATTTTCACAGTATGTCTGATAATATTTTTGCTTCTGGAGAAAGTCTAAATTGTTTTGTTTCGGCTAGAATAAAAGCAGTTTTTAATTTTTTTTTAAAAACAATTTTAAGGTCAAAATTATTAGCCCCCGCAAGCAATATTTGTTTTGGATTGTCTACAGAACAAACCACCGTTATAAAATAACTTGCCTAATTACCCTAACCTGCCTAGTTACACTTTTAAATGTCACTTTAAGCTGAATACTAGTAAATATCTAGTCAAATATTATTTACTGTCATCATGGCAAAGAGAAAATAAATCAGCTATTAGACATGAGTTATTAAAACTATTTTGTGCAGAAATGTGTTCTCTGCTAAACAGAAATTGGGAGAGGAACATAGAAGGAGGCTAATAATTCTGACCTTAACTGTAAGTGTATACTCGGTGCAGTGTGTGTGTGTGTTTCTCTCCATCTGTTCTGCTGTTCGGTGTTGAATCAGCGTCCTCACAGCTCGCTGAAATGTGTTTTCGGTGCCGTCCGGCAGCATTTCTGTGAATGATTAATGTGGGATCAGACTCTGCTGTTTCTGCAAACCTCTCTGTGTGTGTGTTTCTCTGCTGAACATACTGTCCACACACTCGTTCTCTACATAACAAACTCTCCTCCTGCTCTTTATATCTCTGCTTTTTGCCGACGCTGCACTTTTCTGCCACTCAGACCAAACTTAAATCCTCTCATCGTCAATCATGGTGGATTTACCACCTCATTCTGGAAGCATCAGCAGTTCGCTAAATAGACTTAAGCACTGTTTAAACAAATAAACAAAAATACACTGTAAAATAGGGCGGCATGGTGGCTCAGTGGTTAGCACTGTGGCCTTACAGCAAGAAGGTCACTGGTTTGAGTTCAAGCTGGGCCAGTTGGCATTTCTGTGTGGAGTTTGCATGTTATCCCCATGTTGTTGTGGGTTTTCTTCTGGTGCTTCGGTTTTCCTTACAGTCCAAACACATGCGCTATAGAAACTAAACTGACTGTAGTGTATGAGTGTGTGTATGCGTGTTTCTTAGTAAAGGGGTTACAGATGGAAGGGCATCCACTGCGTAAAACATATACTAGATAAGTTGGCGGGTCATTCCGCTGTGGCGGCCCCTGATAAACAAAGGAATAAGCCGAAGGTAAATGATAATGAATGGATTCAGGGAAGCTCTCGCTTCCTACCTGAGCTCAGACTCCCCTCTCTCCCGATGAAACAGGAGGGAGCTCCAGGCTCGAGGATCTTCCGAGATCAGGGCTCTCTCCTAGGACAGCATGCCAAACACTTTATTTATCAATCATCAGCTAAAGGTGAACTCTTGAATTATTATTTAAATAACAAAAGTATCAATTTAATATTTTTTTTTAAACTTAACTCATTTACGATTGGAGTATTATAGAATTCATACTCGACTGCTATTAATATTATAAAAAAAAATATATATATATATATATATATATATATATAAATATATATATTTATATAAATATATATAAATAAATAAATTAAAAAAGATATATATATATATATATATAGTTTTAAAACATATGCTGGATTAGTTGGCAGTTCATTCTGCTGTGGAAACCCCAGATTAACAAAGGGACTTACCCGAAAAAGAAAATGAATGAATGAATAAATATTGTTTTTCAGTGTATGAAAGTGTTGATCGAGGCTGTTTAACCAACATCCACCGTTATTGGGCGCCCTAATAAATAAATAAGTGTGTGTGTTTGTGTGTGCGTGTGTGTGTGTGGAGCCGAACTGCTGATGTCAGGAGCTCCAGTGCTGCATTTGATGCTGCAGGGTGGATGATTTGCTGGATGTGAATAAGCGTCCTCCAGACACACACATGCGAGCCTGACGAAACAGCAAACATGCGGACTGTCGTGATTATATGGACGCTGCTTTTATATCTGGCTCCTTTGGGCAACACCGCGAAAAAGGCGTTTAAATGCCCGTCCTCGTGCAGCTGCTCGAAGGAGTCTATTATATGCGTCGGATCTTCGTATGTCCCGCGATACATCCCCAATGATGTCAGCTCACTGTAAGTATATGCTTATTTTGCGTATGCATTTGGAAATATGAGGCATGCATGTGTCATTTTAAAGATGAAGGGGGGTTATTGCATTGCAGGGGGGCTGTCGGTCATTGCGGTGTGTACAGCTGAAGTCAGAATTATATGAGCCCTTCTTTTTCAGATATTTCCCAAATGATGTTTAACAGATTCAGGATTTTTTTCGCAGTATTTCCTATAATATTTTTTTCTTTTGGAGAAAGTCTTATTTGTTTTATATCAGGCAAGAATAAAAAGTTAATAAATAAATAAATATTATATATAAATAAATAAATAAATATTACTATTTTAATAAATAAATAAATAAGTTTTTTTTAAAAAACATTTTAAGGTCAATATTATTAGCAATATTGTATTTGTGTATCCACAAACCACTGTTATACAATAACTTGCCTAATTACCCTAACTTTACCCTAATTAACCTAGTTAAGCCTTTAAATATCACTTTAAGCTGAAATATCTAGTCAAATGTGCTGTCATCATGGCAAAGAGAAAAGAAGTCAGTTATTAAAACTATAATGTTTAGAAATGTGTTGAATAAACATCTTTGTTAAACGGAAATTGGGGATACAGTATGGCTTATAATTGTGACTTCAGCTGTGTTATTTTGTGTCATCACTGCACTGGGTATTAAATATGAGTGTTGTTTTGCAGGAGTATCGTCAACGGGACCTTCTCTGAGGTCAAAGAGGCGATGTTTTCACACATGCCCTCCCTACAGTTACTGTAAGTGCAGAACATCTGACGAAGCAAATGTGTTTGGCATGATATGATTGATGCTTTCCTGTGTGTTCTCATAAGCTTATAGCATTCAATGATTGAATTGAATCTCTTTATGTTTTTTAAATGTGCATGAGAAAAATATTAGTGTTGTAACTATATATATATATATATATATATATATATATATATATATATATATATATATATATATATATATATATATATATAATATGTATGTACGTATGTATTTATGTATGTATGTATGTATGTATGTATGTATGTATATATATATATATATATATATATATATATATATATATATATATATATATATATATATATATACATACATATACATATACATACATATATATATCAGGTCGCCGTTTACAGTGCTTTTTGTCAACACACAGTACCAGTAAGCTATTGGCACCAACACATTTGGGAAATATTTAAATTGAAAAAAACCACAGAAGGGGGCTAGTAATTTTGACTCCAACTGTGTAAATTCACTTTTTAATATTACAGTATTATTCCACTTTACATACACTCTCAGGAGAAAAAGGCATGGTGTGTTTTTTCTGTTCATTTTATATTTAAATATATATATATATATATTTATATTTTTGACCACAAAACTCAGTCATAAGTGTCAATTTCTTTCTATTGTTTAAATAATGAATAAAATATGCTTTGCATGATGTATGGGTTTAAGATTGGAAACTATTTGGCAGAGATATAACAATTTTAATATCAGGAATCTGAGGGTTAAAAAAAATCAAATTACTGACAAAATCAACTTTAATTTTTGTCTAAGTCAAGTGCTTAGCAATGCACATTATTTTCTTTTATATATAATTATTTTTTAGGGGTTTTTAACTTTATTTTGGTAGGACAGTGAAGATTTACAGACAGGTAAGTGTAGGGGGGAGAGACAGGGGAAGGATCGGCATAGGATCTTGAGCCCGGGAATGGAACTTGGGTTGCCATGAGCACCTGAATGCTATGTGTTGACCCACTAACCACTAGGCTATCGCCGCTGACCGCAATGCATATAACTAATCAAAAATTGAGTTTTGATATATTCACAGTAGGACATTTGCAAGTTTTTTTCATGGAACATGATGCTTACTTTATATTTTAGTCCTTTTTTTGGCATAACATAAAAATCTATCATTTTGAATCGATTATATTATACTCTATATCATTTTGACTCATATCGTTTATTTGTGGCTGTCCCCACAAATATACTTGTGCAACATAAGACTGCACCGTAAAATGTACCAATAACATCTTTGTACTGTTTCCCCCTGAGAGTGTCATAAAAAAATAAAAAAATTAAGGGCTAAATTTATTAATCTGAGATTGTTCTGGTACATTTACATTTAGGATAGAAAACATTTTTTTTTCAAATAAAATTTTAACTCGCGCTCTTCCTATTAAATCATTCAAATCTACCAAAAACTATATAATAATTGAATCATTTATTGATAATAATAATGAATAACTTAATGATGCTTTAAAAAAGCACCAAAGTCCACACAAATGTTACGAAGAGCTTAATTCAAATGCCAGAAATGTATAGAAATATACATTATTATTATAATTAATTTTATTTCTATATTTATGTGTATTTCTAGTGGGTCTGTAGACTTTTGAAGCTCATAAAATGTGTGCTGCTTTCAAGCATTATATTACGGTTAAACTATCTATCCTTATTAATCAGAGGAATGTTAATGTAAGTGTAACCCCGCCGGTCCTATGCCACCCAACCCGCTCCGAGCTGGTATCGAACCGGCGACCTTCCGCATGGGAGTTGGTAGCTCTAACAAGGAGGCTAAAGACCATGGCCTCTAGTGTCTGTCGCTAGAGCTGCTTTAGAGGTCAGAGTAGTGAGGTTTACCTGCACAGCTTACCTCACAGTTTACCACAGCACTTACTAGCTGGCCTCCGTTACACTCACCCCCTAAACCTCACTCCTATCCGGGTCACGGCACCAATGTAACCCCGACGGTCCTACACCACCCAACCCGCTCTGAGCTAGTATCGAACCAGCGACTTTCTGCATGGGAGTTGGTAGCTCTAACAAGAAGGCTAAAGACCATGGCTTTTAGTGATGGTCGCTAGAGGTCAGAGGAGTGAGGTTTACCTGCACAGCACTCACTAGCTGGCCTCCATTACATAAGCATCAATATAAATTGTGCGTTTAGTCATTAGTGGAAGAGCTGTTTGCATTAGATTAGAGTGTACTCCTCAACTAAACACCTGAAGGTGACATCTGACAAATAGGAAGGTGTTTTATTTAGCTATTTAAGAAGTCAGGGAACATATTTTGCCTCCAAACAGCCCGCAGTTTTCCTCCTGTTCCCTTTCTGACACTGAGAACACAGCGACTTTTTCCATGCTGTCACTGACGTAATGCAGGATGTCAGCGATTTAATATTTGGACATAGAGATATGAAGAGATCTGTGTGTGTGTGTGTGTGTGAGAGAGGACATTTTATCTGTGTGCATTGAACATCTCTGTTGCAGCACTGCATTTAAATAGCACTGCATTAAGAAAGCATATACTGATTTTCATTTGGTACTGATTAAGTGGTTAGCACTGTCACCTCACAGCAAGAAGGTCACTGGTTCGAGTCCCGGCTGGGTCAGTTGGCATTTCTATGAGTTTGCATGTTCTCGCCGTGTTGGTGTGGGTTTCCCCCACAATCCAAACACATGCGCTAAAGGGGAATTGAATAAGCTAAATTGGCCGTAGTGTATGTGTGTGAATGAGTGCGTATGGGTATTTCCCAGTACTAGGTTGCAGCTGGAAGGGCATCCGCTATGTAAAACATATGCCTGAATAGTTAGCGGTTCATCCGGTTGTGGCGACTTTTGGTAAATAAAGGACTTAGCTGAAGGAAAATGAATGAAGGTGTGATTTGTGTGCTGTTAATAACTGGTGCTGTATATTCTGGCAGGTTGCTGAACTCAAATGCCCTCACAACAGTAAGGGATGATGCTTTTTCTGGCCTTCCACACCTGGAGTACCTGTAAGTTCTCTTTTAGGATTTTTATTTTATCATTATGAATCAGTATTTGTAGATGTTCATGTGTTAAAGCATTCATTTCTGCAAGAGCAATAGGTGTTAAGATTTGAATGTTTACATATTAAATTATAAGCTCATGTAGTGGCAATTTCCTTTAAGGAGGCGCTCTCGGTGGTCAAGAAACAAAGTCTTACCCGGCATGTCTTTTCAAAGCTTTTATTCTTTGCAAAGAAGGTCACAGTCATACAGCAACAACAGTTTCTGCAGAGTGAGACAATGAAGCAAAGTGTGCTCATCCTTTTATCTGGGTTGTGCTGCTTACGAGGTCAATTCTAGTTCAATCTAAATCACACATACTACAACAGGTGTGAAAACCATCCTGCTGCTTTCCAGTCATATATCACACAGCCCATGCCCCTTACCCCTAACAGATGTTCATCTTTAAGCTCATTGGAAAGATAAGGACCACGTGGTCACATACGGGAATGTAAGGCTGTATAAACAAAAGTACACTGTGAACACAAGTGACTTTTCACACATCTAAAGATGAGGAGTAAGCAAGTTTTCACTACACATGTTCATCTAAAAATGAATTTCCATTACACTCACCAATGGTACCCTTAAATCCTTCACCGACTTAAGGCAAGAGTTTCACATACCAAGACAGGAGTTTTATAAATATCTGCATTTTCATTAGTCATGAAAAGAGAGACCAACTATCCCTAAAGCTCTCCAATATTGAGGAGACTTTGGTGAATTCTGAATCTTTAAAATGAAAGATCTCTGAGATATATTCTGCACTATTAGAATTTTACAACTCTTCACTGGGATCACTTAAAAGCGTGTGGCAAAGAGATTTGGAATATAATTTTAACGACAATCAGTGGTAGACTATGCACCAGAATACTCTCATTCCCCTTTCCAACAGCAGAATAATTGAACAAAATTATAAATTCATGCATAGGATGTATCTGACCCCACTTCGTTTGAGCAAAATGTACCCTAATGTACCACCCAGGTGTCACAGATGTAAAACCTTTTCAGGATTAATCATGCATGTATTTTGGGAACGCAAAAAGCTAACATTTTTTCTGGAAAGCAGTACAGGACTTTACAGCCAAAGCTTTGCAAATTCCATTGGACAACACACCAACACTATACCTCTTTGGTACAGAACTGAACACGACACTTGATCCTACTTCTATAAAGATACTCAGCATCATCTCCTATCTAGCAAAAAAAAAAAAAAAAAAAAAAAAAAAAACATGGATTTTGCTCAACTGTAACCAAGAAAGACCTCCAACATTTGAACTGTTTATACAACTCTTGAATGAAACAAAGGGGATGCCTTTCAAAAAATATAGATGCCTCTAATGAACCCCTGACTCTATGAACACCTCTGATGTATTTTCATAATATGTGTGACCTTTATCCAACATAACTTTATTTGTGTATTATGATTTTTGTTTTCTGTTTGTATGTTTATTTATTATTCATTTATTTAATTTTTTTCTGACTTTTGCTGCTATACTTGTCTACTGATACCCTTGCCTTTGTCCTTTTTTGTTTATGTTTGTCTGTTCATTAAAAACAATAAACAAAGAATAAAAAAAATGATAAGCTCACATTGTTTCAACATTTTAATTTTGTCTCGTAAATCAAATTGTTTTGATTATTATTGATAATTTTTTCATATTTAAATGCCATCTTAAAAGTCGTTAGTTGCTGTTCAGTATTTGGCCATTAATTTTTCCCTTAAAGAGTTGTAAAAAGTTTTATCATTAAAGTATTATAAGGTATTATATCATTATTAAAGTATTATAATTATCATAACATTAACTAACCAATCATCAAAACAATGCAAACTTTTATTTGAAAAACAAAAGTATATAAAAAAACCAACAACAAATAAAAAGAATCACAACAAATATGAAGATACTATATAGCTTTAATGAGAACTACAATCCCATGATGCACTGAGAAAGACACAATCAATCAAAAAATAACAGGAAATTGTCAAACTTTAAATTTAATATAAAGTTGTTAGTCATATCCATAAAGCATAAGTCAAAATAATTGCATATATATATATATATATATATATATATACACACACATACAAATATTTGAGTGTTTCCAGAAACTTGATTAAGTTATTTACAGTGTTTAATAGGATTAATTGGTGGGATTTCTGAACAGCATCATGGGTAATGTAGTTTTTTTTTCACTTTTAAAAAAAACTACTTGAATTAATGCAAACAGGTGGATATAAAATTGATTAACAATCTCTGAGCTGGCGACGCTGTGGCGCAGTAGGTAGTGCTGTCGCCCTCACAGCAAGAATGTCGCTGGTTCAAGCCTCGGCTGGGTCAGTTGGTGTTTCTGTGTGGAGTTTGCATGGTCTGCATTCGCATGGGTTTCCTCCGGGTGCTCTGGTTTCCCCCACTGTCCAAAGACATGCAGTACAGGTGATGGGGTGCAGAGATGGGTTTCCCAGAGATGGGTTGCAGCTGAAAGGCCATCCACTGCGTAAAACATATGCTGGATAAGTTGGCGGTTCATTCTGCTGTGGCGACCCCAGATTATTAAAGGGACTAAGCCAAAAAGAAAATAAATGAATGGACCTCCGAGCTCATAACACCACTGTCTGTAAAGCTATATTTACAAATTAATTTCTCCATAAGGGGAAAATGAATGCACTTTGTCTTATTCAGGAGCAGACTGTTGCGATTTAGTTACTCACTTAATTATCCTGATTCATTTTATATGAACTGACCACCAACATTCACACTTATTTGTCTCTCCATTCTTTAGGTTTATAGAAAACAACAAGATTGAGACCACATCAAAATACTCCTTCAGAGGACTTCGGGATTTGACTCACCTGTATGTTGCTTATTAATTATGATTAACAGTAATATGACTTGACTTGTCTGAAATGTTGCCGTGTTTTTTTTGTGGTTTTTTTACAGGTCGCTGGCGAACAACAACATTAAAGCTTTGCCCAGAGAGTTATTCATCGACCTGGACTCATTGATAGAGCTGTGAGTCTGCAAATGCTTACTTACAATGCCTATATTGCAGTAGTATATTGGAAATGATTTGATCTTGATTTTCGATGAATTATGAGGTTATTTGAAAGCACCAAATCAAACACACCCTTAAGCCAACAAGACCACGCCCCTTTTTTGACCTCTTTGCTATAGTTACTAAACACGCCCCTTGCTGCTGATTGGCTGCAAGTGTGTTTTGGGTATTGACAATGGGTCACACTTAGTATATAATTGTATATACTAATTATATATATATATATATATATATATATATATATATATATATATATATATATATATATATATATATATATATATTCCTAGTGGTTAAAGTAGGTATTGCAGTCCAATATTCAAAACATTGGAAAGGGTTTTTTCATTTAGCATTGCCCCCTTGTAACCAGCAGGTGTCCCCAGTGACACTAGCACATCCAACCAGTGAAGCCAGCTCGTGTAGTCTAATCAAACAGCGATTTGTTTTATTTGTCCCGCCCACACACACACAAATTATGCGCACTCTTTGCATTTCGATGGTTTCTGATTGTCTGTTAGAGTTGTATCATTAATACTCTGTACATAAAACGTTCTGATTGCAAGCATGCCTGAAAGTTGAGCCTTATGCTGTAAGCTACTTGGCTAATGTTTACATTCGTAATATTTATATTATTTGCTCATTTAAAACCACCTCACTTGCATTTATGTGACTCTGAATCTGTGTCTCATTTTAATGGTTGCTACTGTATTTTTTGGCCGTGTCCACAAACATCGAGACTGCCTTCATGATTGAAATGAAATACGCATTTTTTCCACCAAGCCAACCCGGGGTGCTGAAATGTAATTAGTTTTAACTGGTAGTGGGCTGGTTATAGAGTTCAAAACAAAGACAGACATTCACAAACTGACTTTAGCATTGTTTCTCAGATAAACAAGTATGTTCACTTAGCATATCTAGCTATTTAAATATCAGCAAACATATTATGGTATTGGCAGCACGGTGGCTCAGTGTTTAGAACTGTTGCATCACAGCAAGATGGTCACTGGTTTAAGTCTCGGCTGGGTCAGTTGGCGTTTCTGTGTGGAGTTTGCATGTTCTCCCCGTGTTGAAGTGGGTTTCCTCCGGGTGCTCAGGTTTCCCCCACAGTCCAAAGACATGCGCTATAGATGATTTGGATGAACTAAAATGGCCATAATGTATGAGTGTATGGGTGTTTTCCCAGTACTGGGTTGTGGCTGGAAGGGCATCCGCGGCGTAAAACATATACCAGAATAGTTGGCGGTTCATTCCACTGTAGCAACCCTTTGATAAATAAGGGATTAAGCTGAAGTCAAATTAATGAATGAATATTACGGTATTTTCATGATTAAGAGAAGTTAAAAATGTTAATAACCGTGCACTATAATACAAACTGTTAGCTTTTGGTTGATTTTGCCATATATTTCCCTGCAGAGATCTGAGGGGTAACGTGTTTGAGTGCGACTGCCGGGCAAAGTGGCTGATGATGTGGCTGAAGAGCACGAACGCCACTGTTTCAGACGTCCTCTGCGCCGGTCCTGAGGAGATGAAGGGCAAACGGCTCAATGACATGGCCAGCTTGCATAACGAGTGCATCTCCACAGGTTTGTCAATGAACACGTGCAGCTTTAGTACTGTGTTTGTGCGGCTCTTCACTGGCTTTGCATCACAGTAAGCTCTCCAAAAGTAATAAAATGCATGAAAAAAATTAGTCAATGGTGTAAACAGATTAGACAGTTATAAAACATCTACTTTTGAGTGACGCTCACTTTCCATCATCCATTTAACAACTGATAAATAGATTCAAGACTTTCTTTTTTTAAGTGATTATTCTTTTAAATTGATTTTTTTATGAAATTCAAATTAAATATTTCCTTGAAATTTTCCAAAAATACCTTCCTTGGGTTAAGCATCCACCGCATAAAACCTTTGTCGGAGTAATAGACGTTTCATTCTGGTGTGGCAGCCCCTGATAAATGAGGGACTAAGCCAAAGGATAGTGAGTGAGTGAGTGAGTGAGGGTACTTATTTTAGGACTTTCGAGAGTTACCAATATAAATTTCACCATTTTATTTCCATATGTAAGTCTAACCTTACAAAAATGCACAGTTTGGAAGCATTTGACTATTTGCAAAGAATACTTCTCTTGGGTACATCTTTAGGACTTTTGAGAGTTACTAATACAAATTTTACCATACATCACCCAGATTTCATTCCCCTCCACTCTGTTCCTACGGAGTCCCTGTCTGTGGACACGTTTTCCCACAAGAATGATGTTTACGTAGCCATCGCTGCTCCCAACGCAGAGAGCTGCATGGTGCTCCAATGGGACCACATCGAGATGAACTTCAGGACTTACGACAACATCACAGGTGCAACTCACAGAAATAAAACCAATTATCAATAGTTGATCAAACCTAACGCAATGCGCTTTCTCCTAATCTCAGGTCAGTCCATTGTTGGCTGCAAATCTGTGATCATCCAGAATGAGGTCTTCGTCATCGTCGCCCAACTCTTCGGCGGTTCCCACATCTACAAGTTCGATGAGGACCAAAGCAAGTTCTCAAAGTTTCAAGACATCGAAGTGTCAAAGATATCCAAGCCTAACGACATTGAAGCCTTTCAGATTGGAAATGACTGGTTCTTCATCATCGCCGACAGCTCGAAGGCTGGTTTGTCTACCTTGTATAAATGGAACGACAAGGGTTTTTACTCCTACCAGTCTCTTCATGAATGGTTTCGAGACACGGATGCAGAATTTGTGAATTTGGATGGAAAAGCGCATCTTATTCTTGCAAGTCGTTCTCAGGTTCCTGTTATCTACCAATGGAGCAGAAGCACGCAGAAGTTCACTTTGCAAGGGGAAATCCCAAATATGGAAGATGTAGTAGCCGTCAAGGCGTTTTGGATCAAGGAAGACCTTTATCTGGCCATGACCCGATACATAGGCGACTCCAAAGTCTTGCATTGGACGGCTAAGGAGTTCTCCGAGGTCCAGGCCATTCCTTCAAGAGGATCCATGATCCTGCAGCCGTTTTCCTTCAAGGAGAGATACTACCTGGCTCTGGGAAGCGACTACACCTTCTCGCAGATCTATCTGTGGGATGCAGAGAAGAAGGTTTTCGAGCGTTTTAAGGAAGTCTACATCCAGGCCCCTCGATCCTTCACTGTGGTCTCCACCGACCGGAGGGACTTCATATTTGCCTCCAGTTTTAAGGGCAGCACACAGATCTTTGAGCATATCATTATTGATTTGAGCCTTTGAGAGTTCAACTCAGTAACTGCAGGACAATATCAGAGTTTAAAGGGATAGTTCGGCCAGTAATTTAAATTTGCTTCCCATCTGCTCACACGGGAGTGGTGTGAAAGTTTTGTGAATGTCTTTCTTCTGTTGAACACAAAGGACAATACTTGTTTGTTTATATAGTGTTATAGTGAGCAGTGTTTCTCAGCCAGGTTTCTGGAGGACCACCAATACTGCATGCAGATTTCATCCTGCACTTTGTCTCCGTTGCCCTTTGTGTTTCCTCCTCTGCTTTAGTTCTTTCTTGTGTGTCCTTCTTTACTTAATTTCAATCCTCTGTTGTTCCAGCCAGGTTATTTAAGTGGTATCTTTTCTCTGAGTCAGAACACATTGGGTTTGCCTTGCGTTCTCTTGGCCTCACGATCATTGTCTAGTATGTTCTTGTTTCTCCGTTCGTGGCGTTTTCTTTGCTTTTGTTACTCTGTTAAAGAACCCCCTGTGTATACCTCATCAGAGAAGAACCTTCGTTGACTGTTTTGCTACCAGTTTTTCAGGATCCTTTCTCTGAGGATGTACTCTCAAGAGGGACGGTTGCCTTAAACCATGCTGAGGTGCAGTTGTCCCCCCTTCCCTCTTCCCCGATAGCCGCAGTCTGCATCTTGACCTTCCAAACCTGGGTATGCTTGTGTCATCGATGATGCGAGTTCAGTTTAACAGGAGGAGAAGCATTCTTTCACAGCACAGTGAACATTGCTCTAGGTATATTGTTTTAGTTGCTTGGGATGCAGTGACATGCAGTCAAATGCCAAATAGATCCACAACTTTTGACGCTTATAAATGACAATGAAAGTCCTCGTGCTGCACATATTTGCTGAAGGTGGAGCTGTCGTGCAGGGAGGGGTTTGCGTCTTTAATAAACTATGACAGTTCATGTTCATTGAACAGGGAAAATGATTAATGAATCCATATCAAACAGTCCCTTAAAATTGACATTTAGGCGTGCTTTGCACTTATACAAGAAGCGTACCGCGCCAAAGCCCAATTGAACACTTTTCCACACCTCGTGCCTAGGCTGTATTCGGAGCACTCACACTTGTCAAATGAACCGGGAAAGGAACCTGGGCACGGTTCGGATAGGATAGTGTGAGTGCACCTTAAGTGTTTCGTTTGGGCCCTACCCATCTGACCTTGTGGCTCTGTGATACCTCTCACCAATCTTCTCACGAGAGACCCAGGTTCGAGGTAGAGGTCTGCATTTTCACGGCGCTTTATTCGGAAAAAAAAAACCCGGACCGGTCGGTAACGGGTTTAATTTGGGACGGGAGCGGGCCGTCTAGCAATATCGTTCGCGACTCCCGAGCGAGCACGCGTATGTATGTGTGTAAATGAAATAGCGCGATGCTGTGTTTAGCTTGTTTGTTGCTGTGTGTGTGTATGTGTGCCCATGCGCGAATGAAAGAGGTGTGTGTGTGTGTGCGTGTGTTAGTGCGCGCGCGTGCGAATGAGAGAGAGAGAGAGCTTTGTCTGTCTGCTTGATGCTTATGTGTGTGTGTTTATACAGACAGCTTGTTATAGGCTGTCTGTATAGCTGGGTGGTTTTCGGTTTTGGTCGCGCAGCGGGACAACAAATGCTGAATGAGCGGGAGCGGCTGGGTACGGGCAGGAGCGGGATTCAAAATTTAGTCTGCGCAGATCTCTAGTTCGAGGCCTTTACATGCCAGTTTTGAATGTCTCCTTTGTCTGTTACACCCATGATGGTCTGAATCAGGTGTGTTTGGTTGAGGAGACATGGAATGTGCCGAGCAGGTGGTCCTCCAGGAAGGCGGTTGAGATACACAAAAGGCATGACAACGAAAAAATTATAAAAACATCATTTTAGATATGTTTCTGTATTTAAAACATTAGCTGAGTTCAGTCCACAGCCATAGCGATACAGATTTAGCTTTCCAACGTTCTTCAGAGTAACTTTCTTTTGTGTTCAACAGAAGCAATTGTAATGGAGTGTGAGCAAATGATGAGCGAATTTTCATTTTAGGGTGAACTGTCGCTTTAAGGCATGTCAGCAACCCCCTCCTTGGGTCGTTGGGCATTTCTGGGTTAGGCAGTTTGGGTTTTATGATGAAGGAGGTAATCTGGCATTATCAGGTTCACAGTAATACGTATTAAATCATGCATCTGTGTAGTTTTACATACAGTTGAAGTCAAACTGATTAGCCCCGTCTTATTTGAATATTTCCCAAATTATGTTTAACAGATTCAGGAATTTTAACAGTATTTCCTATAATATTTTTTCCTCTGGAGAAAGTCTTATTTGTTTTATTTCGGCTAGAATAAAAGCAGTTTTTAATTTTTTTTAAAACCCTTTTTAGGGCAATATTATTAGCCCCCTTAAGCAATATTGTGTTTGGGATTGTTTACAATGACTTGCCTTATTATCCTAACTGTAACCTAATTATCCTAATTACCCTAGTTAAGCCATTAAATGTCACTTTAGGCTGAATACTAGTATCTTGAAAAATATCTAGTCAAATATTATCTACTGTTATCATGACAAAGATAAAATTAATCAGCTATTAGAAATGACCTATTAAAACTATTATGTTTAGATATTGAGAGAAATTGGGGAAAAATATACAGGGGGGCTAATAATTCTGACTTCAACTGTACAGTATATACAACAATTCCTCATCCCTACTGAATCATTGGACATTTCTGCCACGCATACAATGCATGGACAGCCGAAAAAGAGTTGCACTTGTCACCTGTAACTACCTAAATCACTCAACATAATGATGTATACTGTAACTCCGAGAGCCTTTCAAAACTCTTTCAAAACAATGCATGATATGGCTGCGACAACAATAGATAAAAAATAATTGTAAAAAAAAACAACTTACAGAGCAGGCATGCAGATCTAATAGTGATACAGGTGACAAATGCAGTCCTGTTATCTTTAGAGACATTAAAGAACATTTTTTACCTCGTTGCAACACAGGCTCATTCTGAAAACGTAGCCCTAAATACATTTCTGGAGATCGCGAATTATGTAGTCAGAAGTACAGCTGATCGCTTACCTCCATATGGACAGCTTTCCTGCTGTTACCAGACTTGAGACGCAGAGAGGAGTTGACCGCGACGACGGGGTTTGAGTCTGGTGGAGAACGGTTCCAGAACGCAGATAAGACAAAAACAGAAGCCAAAAAATAAAATAAACAAGTAAATAACAGGGTGAGAATGTGGTAAATTCTGAAAACATGTTAAAAGTCAGGCGACGACTTTTCTTTTTCTGGATTGCTTTTGAAAACACTGCCGGTTGGGTTTGGGGAAGGGGGTCAATCAGTGCTTTCGAAAACACTGTTGGTTGGGCTTAGAGGAGGAGGAGGGTAGGTCAGTCAATCAGTCAGTCAACAGCAGGCTCTGGTGGATTTACGCGATAACAGCAGGCGCGAATGCCACTCGCAAGAGAACTTTGAGATCTCAAAATCGGCCTCTGGTGTATTTGCAAAAACAAAAACTGCAAAAAAAAAAAACGTAGCTCCTGGGACTTATTTGGTGCTCTCCAGAAAGGTATACTAGGGTACGTTTTCAGAATGAGCCTGGGTTGCATTGTTCACTATTTAATGAAGTTATACATTCTTTCTCATCCGCTCAAAGACTAAGGGCACGTTTACATGGCAGTTGACTTAAAATACAGCATAATACCATGTTTTATGTTATCATTTGTGTGGATACTTTGTTTTCGGCAATATGTCTGTATATCAACCTTAAATAGATCAACTTTTTTTCGTTGATGTCATGTAAACATACCCAAAGTTGTATTATCAAGAGCAGGGGTGCCCAAACTTTTTCCTATAAAGAGCCAAAAAGCAAACTTGATTGAGAGCTGTGGGCCGAATATATACCAAACCATACATGTTTAATTTGCCATAGGTAATTTCCTAATTTATTCGGTAATTTTTAAAAATGAGTAGAAAACATTGCTTTAAATCATGTTGACTAATGCAGTATCGTTTTATAATGAACTTATTACAGTAAAATCCCATTTATAACACAAGTTCCATGCTGAGTACACTAGTCAAGATTACTTTGATTTGCTCACAGATGTCTTGTGCATCTGTCTAGTAACACCATTTACATTTTTAAAAAGTCTGATTCATTTACAGGATTTAATTGAATCATATAATTTCAGTTGGCTTTTTTTTTGTAGATAATAAAACAAAAGCAAAAGGTTACATTAAATTTGAAATGACAATTTCTGTCATGCAATCGCCCCAACCAGCTCCCCATCGTTCTCTCTCTCTTTTCAGATGAGATGGCAGGCCAAATCAAAGGTTCCCATGGGCCAACTTTGGGCATCTCTGATCAAGAGCAAACATATTAATCGGAAAATGAAACAAATCATGATGTAAATTACAATTCTGTGGTCATTCGAGTTTTTGTGGTTGTTTTTTTTTTGCCTTTTGCAAATGAAAAATGCTTTAATACAGGGAATTTTTCAAAAGCACAAACCTTTAAATCATCTATAAGTGACTAAATCTTACTCATTACAACCTGGTGTTAAGCTGAATTTTTGATTTCTTTGGGTGCAATGAATGTAAACAGCTTTTTTATTTTAGTTTAAGTACTATTGAAATACATAATGAATGTCAGACTTTGATAAAGTGTGTTAAAAGATGAATAGTTTTCCTTTGCAAGCTGGAATACAGAGAGATAAGAAGAAAACAACCCTAACTTATGATCATTGCAGCCTGCAAAAGCATGATATACAGCTTATTAATAGTCAATACCTTATAAAAGCTAATTAAAAACTTACTTGATCACATCATGTCCTTGTTTATACCATTTTTAGCCTAATCTTATGCAAAAACAAAGTATTATTTTGTAAAACATTGACTTGTTTTTATTCTCATTTGTTGTTTTTAAAATTGAATGTAAATAAATGCTTATGAACACTGACTTATTTGATTGTTAATTCATAATTCAGTTAATATTATACATGTATACTATTTATAAAAGTATATCACTTCAGGTAATTGAATACACTCACTGGCCACTTTATTAG